GTAAAGCCAATACATCCAGATACATTCCGATACATTCAGATACATTCCGCGGCCACGACTGCATCTTAAGGCGACAGTTGTGGAACTGGTCCTCCCTCATCTTTTCATATCCACTGTTCTCTTTCATGGCAACCAGGTAGCGAGCCACCGCCGCCAAAAACTGCTGACATTCCGCCATGAAACGCAACTATAACAAACAATTCGCGTTTCTGGCAACCAAAAACTACAGCGGAAAACAGCAACCGATCCAACACGAACGCGCAAAAAAGACACAACAGAGCGTCCCCGGGGCCGCTTGACAACTTGACAAAGCACACTCATCACACAAACGCATGCGTCCAGATATATCTATTTGAATATAGTATTGTTGAAAAAACCAAAAGAACATAAGTCGAACTTTTCATATTGAAGGTTTAAAAAGTGAAAACTATATACACAAATAGCTATAGAAGTAAGTAGACAGTGATGGAAAACAAGCAGAAATAGCTATAGAAATAAGTAGAAATTAGCTAACAATTAGCTAGAAATAGCTAGAAATTACCTAGAATTAGCTAGAAATAGCTAAAAAATAGCTAGAAATAAGTAGAAAATAAGTAGAATAAGTAGCCTCCAGCATAAGTACTATAAGTTCACAAGTTACTACTATGTTCCATAAGTAGGACTCTGGTACTTATTGAACTTATAAGTTACAATATCAACTTATAGAACTTATAACATAACTTATAGAACTTATAGTACAACTTCAAGTTACTTGTCACAGCTCAGCTAGCCACAAGTACCACAAGTCACGAAGTATATATATATAATATACTACTGAACGTATCTGAAAGTTATAAGTTCATTGTGTTATGTTGTGATTTAGTTCTATTACACCAGAATTTACATTCCCCAAACTAGTGTGTCCACCTAGGAGTTCTTACGGTGTAAGAGCTGAGGAACGGGTGTCTGTCTGATCGAGATGCTCGCATCCGCCGGTGGCTAAGTCGCTGCTATTCACAGTGCATTTCGACCTCCACCACCAGCCTTAACCCATCCATTTCTGCGCGCCAATGCAGTCGGTAAGAGGGGCTGCTTGAAGAGTTCGATCTGCTGTTTGGCTTTATTGCGGTTGTTCTTCTTCAGTAGTGATTTTGCGGGTGGAGAGGAGATGAGAGGAGTACCTCTCTTTCAATCCTGTTTGCAAACAGTTTCAAGACCTGTTGGGGATCAAAAGGCTTCACTTCGTACGGGAGACTGGCAGTTCACAATGAGCAAAGGTTGCTGACGGTGCGTGACCATAAGGTTTTGTAGCTAACAAGGCCGCCCAAATACACGGCATACCCTCCAATCGGGATCCGCGACCTGAATTGGCAAAAGATGAAGATAGAAGCACAACATATTTCAACCCCAACAGCAGGATTGAAGCACCGACTCCACAAAACAGCAAATGGGCTGCTAGTGCTAGTGATAGTCTCGCAAACCACAAGGGCTGCTCACCCTCGCATGTGAGTGTCGTCTGGACTGTGCAGAGTGGTAGCTTGCCACCTGAAGCGTTGAGGTTTGAACATCTTCCAGCCCGAATGATGCCTTGATTGTTGCTTGCCCACAGCAAGGCAGTGACAGCTGCAGTGGTCCCAGCAGCGTTGCGATTGCAAGCAGTGACAAACTGAGCCACGGGAGCCCACGACCTTGCAGTATTGACACTTCCTGGTTTCTTTGGCAAGGTTCGTGTCGCCTTGTGCAGCAATTTGCCTCCAACCTACGTAATAGCGATGCCACCACGCCAGAAGCGATGGCCTCCAACCTAGAAGCAATGGCCTGCAACCTAGAAGCAATATCCTCCAACCTGATAGAGATAGCCACCAACCTGGCCTCCAACCGAATAGCGATGGCCTCCAACAAAGCAGCAATGGCCTGAAGGCGTCCAACCTAGAAGCGATGGCCTCCCGCCTACAAACAACCCTGAGGATCCTAGATTGAAAAAGGGCAATCTAGATTAGTTTGATCCTATTCGGACCAATCTGGCTTGGTTTCGACCTCAGCACCAATCTCCAGTGGTTCGACGTCGTTGTTGTGGCAAGTGCAGTACACTGTGCAGTACTTAATGAGAACATGATGGTGGTCATCGGCGTGGTCTGATTACGTGGCAGGTGCAGTGAATCGTGACTTTTGGACATGTGGCTCGTTTTCAGAAATCGGAGGACGTCTTGAGCGAAAGCTGCGTTTTGGCATCCTGATGTTGTCTTTGGAAGTGCTCTTTGCACGAGTTGCCTTGGCAGGGCTGCATGAAGTGAAACGTGATGTGCAGATTTCATGGCAGGCGCAGTACTTTGTGGACCTGAAGAGTTGGTGGCAGGTGAAGCACTTTGTAGACCTTGAGGTGCAGTTTTCGTGGCAGGCGCAATGCTTTGTGGCCTTGACATGTGGATTTCGTGGCCGAAGTGCAGATTCTGTGAGAGGCAGCCAATGTGTCCTCATATTGTGTGGTCAAACATCTCTCTCCACCTCCAGACCTCTAGAATGGCCCTCCCACACACCCCATGAATCTGACTTGCAACGCTGATTGGATTGAGACACATCTCTTGAAGAAATACTCCACCAGCCAGCTGAGGTGGGCATACCCTAGTATGCTTTTCAAACATGGCTGTGCGTAAAGAAACAGGGACCTTGATTGACCACTGAACATGAACAGAATAGACTACGATAGAGGTCAACCTACCAGGTTGCACAGGGCTCCGGCTTCTGACCACCCGCAGCCATATGACGGTTCTTTATTCTACTTGTCTTCACCAACCAACTGATCCATGATCAATGTCGCGGCCCTGATTTACAATCAAGAATTGATCCCTTTGCCCCTTCCATCTTAGACTTGCTCAAATCACAAAGTCGAAACATGCTGTCGTCTGAATCTATGTGAATCTTCTTACTGGCCTCTGGTTAAACACATTTGCCTCCACCAAACTCGGTGGTATGGAATCAAATCGCATCTGTCTGCAGTCCCTCCCCGTTTCTGGTTTCTCGATTCCAGCTGGTCGCCGTGTAGGCTGCATCCACGACCTGGTCGACGTGAGGAGATTGGAAGGTAAGAAGTCCTGGGGCCTTGGGATTGATTCAGTCCTTGGGATTGAGGTTGACCATCGATACCATTTGATGCGCTGAAACCCACCCAAAAAACCATAACTGCTGAAGGATGTTGAAGGAAGAAACCTTGAATACTCGGTGGAAGGATATGGTAGAAATGTAAACAATAAAAAGGATATGGGATGATATGGGAATTCACGACGTCCTCCTTTTTCCGAGCCAAAAAACACCGCTGCCTCCGGCCTTTATGGATGCATCTGTCTTGCAATACCACAGCAGATTCGCTGCATCAACAAAGTGGGCAAAGCCGGCCCCGGGCAGCTCATATATTTTGTAATGTCTGCATTTATAGCATCCCAACCATTCGGGCAAGCTACCTAAGTATCACATCACCGGCTCCGGGCCTCCCTGTCTCCCTCGTTCCGGTTTCGAGTCACCGTAAAGACCAAGGGCTGCTCTTCGCCGATCCGTTTGGCCATGTAGTCCTTAGTTCAAGCGAGAACGACGGCGCTTTTGCGCAGCGCTGACGCCGCTGTTCTTCGCGGTCACTTAAATGGCCCACGGGTGGTGCTTGGGAAAGCCCTGCAGGACGAGGACGAGAGAAGTTGCAGGAGTCTGAACAAAACAAAAAAAACACCATTGGCGTTCGAGTTGGGTGACACTCCCTTAAATAATCGTGGTGTGCCATGGATGGCTTGCGCCTGGGATGGCATCCCCATGGTGAACTCCACGTAACCATGATGATGTACCTGGGAGTGTATGGAAAATGGATGAACATGGATACGCTCAAAGAGTCTATGGGGTCATGTCCCATTTTCTAGGGTACTTTGGAGGGTCCAAATAGATCCCTAATGATCTGAACGTAGAGGTAAGTCATCGTCACCACTGGGCAGTCTCGTTTAAGAATCAATCAAAAGGGGCCGTCCCACAGCGGTCAACCACCGGTGATTCCTGAAGAGAAGAAAAAGGACACATTGCCACCTGAGTCAGATGCCGTCACAACATGCATGCTTAATTACGTGGTTTGTGGCCCAAAACACCAACAAAAAACACAGAAATCACTTGAGCGTCTGCCAAAACGTACTGTCAAGCAAAGGACATGATTCAGCAAGGCTATCGCTTTTCAGGGGGGCCTATCGCTTCTGCAGGTTCTAGCCCAATTCCTGAGATTCACGACCGATCTGTCCGATCTGTACTAATAGTATCTAATAGTCAAATTGCACGTTTTGGCGGTTGCTCGCATGCCGTGTACCGGAGCTTCCGTGGTGCCCCTCTCTCTCTCTCTCTTTCTTCTGACGGGTTCCGAGCGACCGTTTGGACCCCAATGAGCACCGAATTGGTGAAGATCACCAGGGCACACAAACCTACCGGAGCAGGGACAATTGGCATTGCAACTGGAAGAGTTGGATGCTCGACACCTCAGGCACTAATCGAAAACGCCGCAGCATTGCCGGTGTCAAACTAACTCTCTCTCTCTCTCTCTCAGATTGTCAGGTTCCAGGACAAGAACTACAGGAATTCGCAAGGAAATGGGGAATCATTGACCATAAGAAGCATGAGAGATTCAGCACATGCTTCTAAATGTCCTCCCCTATAAAGCAAAAGTAATAGAACAAAACATATACCCTGGAGGCATTTGTACGTACCACATCTTCGGTCTGGGCACCTCACGGACCATCAGAGCTGGACTTCCGTTGCTTTGCTTTGTATATTTCTTGGGTAGCTATAGGCTATAAGGGTCAAAAAAAAAAGTTTAAAGCAAAAAACACAAAGTTTCTTGGCCGCAATGAGATTTGATGTCACTTCATCAAGTCTGGCAAAACCTGGGCAACCATCGACGCGAATAGTTCAATCGACAATGATAAGTCCCATGAATCCTAATTCCTGCAAAACTAATTTGTTCTCCCAACAATTGTTCTCTGGTGTGGTAGACATTCAAATCCCGTCTGACCTGCACTCCAGATCCTCTCCTGTCTCTGCAAGCCTTCGACAGCAGCGGTGTTGAGAAAGTTGTGTAGCCGAAGTTGCCAGTGCTCCGAGACGCCTCGGGCGTTCACCCACTCACTGTCACTGATGTTTCATAGCCACGCGTATGGGAACGACTCGATGGTTTCTTGCTGCTGTGGAAGCGATACATCCACCTTCCACTGCTGCGCACGCCTGCTTCAATCCTATAGGATGCGTTGGTTCCCCTGCAGAAAAAAAAACATAAACACGGCAGGAGCTAGCTATCCTTCAAGCAACAAACGTTTCATTGCAGTTCGTCCAAACAATACACAGGAAAAACACAAAGCAAAAGTTCACTGGAGGAAACGACCATAAGTCTGTCACGACTTCGAACTTTGTAATTAGGAATCCAAGCACCTCCTGCATGGCTTGACCATGGGCACACCTACTGGGTCTTCGTTTGATCCGGGCACTGCCATCCGACCCCATGATGAGCCAACCCTAGGGCTGCTGTCCCACATCGAAAAACTATATAGTTGGACCCCCCTGGGCACCCACCCCAACCACCGAACCTCTTCGGATGTGGGACAGCAGCCCTACACCAAGATGAGCCAAGGACACTGGCTGCCATGGCCAAGGTCGTGCGCGTCTCTTGCGTGTGCAGCCTTTTGGCTTTCCTCGGCCGCCGGAGAGGCGCCGTGGTCGCCCGAGGACATGCGAGGACGCGGACTGGGCGGTGGGCCGTTGGGCTTTCTGGGAGGATCGGGGCGAGCCTAGGCTCTTGCTGGGTGGGAAATGACCCTATATGATCGATCATTGCCAGTAAAAGAAGGGCAAGTCCTTCAGTTTAAGCAAAAAACCGACGCATGTGAAGCACTATACTTTGCCCACCTTTAGTGAAAACTCTCAGAACAGTCGTAGGTTAGGTGAAGGATTTTGACCGCAAAGAAGCTGCTATACTTCTGGATATCCTACTGGCTGACATGCATCTTCAGGCGGGATCCGACTGTTGAACAGTTCCATTTCAGAAACAATGTACACCCACCAACGATGGATGCGGTTTTGGTGGAACAATTATGTCCTACCTTCTCAGAAGGTGATTGGAGACACTGTTATGTAGGTTTGGAGGGTCCAAGTAGAATCCCTAGGGATTCATAACCATGGCAGCGAGTAGAACACCTGAGATATCGTGCTGGGAGATGGAGATGGAGATCAAGCAATTGGGAGAAAGAGGAAGAACTAAAATCCAATGCTTCGAGGGCCCTCCCTCTTCTACTTACACTCCCTGGAATAACTTACCCATCCCAAAACTCTGGGGATCTTCTTCTCGAAAGCTTGTGCCACTCCTGTGCCAGGATTCTTCAGGGCTGCCTGATACGCCTCTTCATCTTCTCTGTCCAACAGCTTGGTCCTCAAGGCCAAGGCAGAGGATCAGTTTGGGTCCGTCGTCCAACCCTGAACACTCACATGGACCCTGCAGAACTGGCTCGGGTTCAACCATCTCCCAGGGTGCAAACGGACCTCAGGGTCCACAGACGGACCTCAGGGTCCATATTGTAATAGGTCACTTTTCGAGTGTAGGGAAGCTTCGGGAAGCTGAGACTTCCAGCGTCCGATAGTCCTGAGACCCCTTGAAGCTCGTGTGAATCACTGGTTCACCGTGCACGATGATGGATATCCAACGTTACTCTGCCAAAGGCTCACATAGAAACCACCCGGGCCTCCCCTTTCCCGCAAAGGAGGTCCCAACCAGGTACTTTGGGGGGAAGCCATACATATATAGTTGAACAATTTCATAAATACTATAAAGTTGATTGTATTCCATATATATAGAGTATTGTTGATGTTGATACAGTAGTTTTAATACTTCTAACATCAAAGTTCGTTTTCTAGGCCAGAAGCATGTTGGCAGTGTTCCATGTTAATCGCACTCTGGCACTTTAAACGTCAGGGGGATGGGTACATGTTGGTATAGGGAAATCAGTCTCAAGGGGCTCAAGGCGCCTTCGATGCCGGTCTCCGACTTCGATGTCAATCATACCCATGCAGCCGAACGAAACTCTACCATCCCACCTGTTTTTCTTACGTCATGTTCGAATATTGAGAAAAAAAAACATCATAATCTTTATATAAATCAAAACAACATCCTTGCACAAGAAATTCCGAAGGGGTGGTTTTTGAGTCCCATCCAGGGGCTGTGGATGTGATAGCACTCCCACTTCCTGGCTCTCGTTCGGCATGGGTGCTCAATGGAACTGCTGGTGACCCATTCGTCCCTGACTGGGCTTCCAACCACTCCCAGAACGATGTGTTTTGGGACTGGCATATTGACCTACAATGGGGTGGTTTAGGGGTGAATGTAAGCATATTACTGGATCTTCAATCGGCACTCATTTTTGCTGGACACCAATCTTTTTTCCATGAAAAAACACTGTTTTAGGGGTTGCAAACATGAGCTCAAAATCCTTCGACGGGGAAACGCCATTTGGACGCCTAAAGACATCATTTACTTGGAAGCAAAAAAAACATCTAGAAAACACTGTCTCCTTTTGGCTTCTGCTGCTTTCCGCCTGGTCACAACCAAATAAAAGGCCATAACGGCATCTGTTCTTGAAAAGGCCATGTCTTCTGTGCCGTTTCGAAGATCCAGCTCAAGGAGGCTACGAACGGGGCTCCTGGCATCGCTACGAACGGAGCGTTCGGACGCTACGAACGGGGCTCCTAGCCTTACTACTAGGAGCAAGTAGCTACTAGGTAACAAGGAGCTACTATACATGAAGTGTCCGGGACTGCTTCCCAGCCCCCGCACGCGCTGCCGTTTCTTCGCCGGGCAGCGAGGCCGTCGGGTGCACCGACTCATCCGAGAAGGCGTCGGAGTCGCCGTCGGAGCCATCGTCGTTTCCGGTCTCGTTCCAGGGTTTCGAAGGGCTGGAGTCCTGTGGTGGTGGTGGGTAGCGTTTTTCAAGCTGTGAAAACTGTGAAGAAGCTCAGCTTAACTTTCTTTTATTGTCATTTTTCATATGTCTGTGCTAGTTTTCAACCGACTGTTGATCACAAATGGTCCTGAACACCCTATAAGATCCTTGCACCCTCCGTAGCAGGGGTCAGGACCCTCAAAAACCTTTCCATGTGAGGGCCCGGATTCTAGGGCAATACAAAACGATGTATCGAAACACGTAAAAACGATGGATTGGATATGATGGGATCCTTGATCCAGCCCTACAACCTTGTCATCAATGATGTCCTCTTAGGAAACATGGAGGGTTCGATTTGGTACCAAATACCTACTGGTGGTCCACTGGGTACGTTTGTTTACTCAACAAACCAATAGTAAAAGGCCATCCATGCTTGTCATCCATGTCTCTTGCCAGGTGAAACCGAGTCACGGCAATCACGGATTCATGGGACCTTCCGGAGATGCGACTCACGAGACCATGAGATCGGCGTCGGCGTTGCTGCATGAGATAGGCCGTTTCAACGTCGATGTGTGCTGGAAATGATGTTACAACTCGATGCTTCTGGTAATGATGGTACTCTATCAATTGAAGATTTAGAAGCAAACCGCTCGTGAATTGACCTTGAGATCTATAGTACTTTCGCAACTACATCAGCACCGATTTCACTTTGGCCAATAGACCATGGAGCCAAGCCCCTTCAAACTCCCATTCAGCAGGTCTCCAAGTAACTCCTCAGGTGTTTAGACCCTCCAAACCTATCCCAAACAACTTCTCAGAAGGTGCTTGCCAAAAAGGGATTCTGTTTCGATCACCGCAAGGTCCTCCTGTACTGCGACCTCCTCGGAGGGCTCATCCCAACGTCGCCTTATGTGGAAACAAGCCGACCCAGCTGGCTCAACCCAACTGGTCACATGAGCTACGGCGGGGCGGAACCTGGTGGAACATCGTAAAATCACATGAAATACTGGAGCTCGAACATCCCACGCGCCACACGCAAGCCCTTACTTCACACAGTGGGTATTGGTTGGCTGTTATGAACAACTGGGAACAAATGGCACACGAAAACACAAACTGGATGGCTCTAATCCTCACTGGTCACCATCCATAGCTGGGGGTGCCATGGCCATAGCTCGCTCGGATGAGAAGCTGTTTCATGCTGTGTCTTTGTGCGCAGGTTCGGAATCCACGGCATCGAAGCCGTCCTCTGGAGTAGACTTGATATCATTGCATAGTTTGTTGTCTTATTTTTTTTAGCATACTTGGCCTGGAAGGCAGTATAGGAACCGAATGATATTCCGAAGGATGTGCTCATCAAGGTGTACTGAAGCGGAGAAAGCATGAGACAACTACATTGCAATCCCTGCCTTGCCAATGCAAACAAGTTAACTCATGTTGACTCAACACAAACTTAGGGCAAAACAAATTAGTTTGGTCTGAAACAATTGCCAGTTTGCCATTGTTCTTCTGTACCAAACGCCGAAACTGTTCATGGCCTTCAAACTCCCTTCTGGATCCACACACACACAACACGACCAAGAACACCAAAGGCATGTGCCATCTTTGGCTCAGGCACGATGCAACCGCGACAGTCGTCGTCTCCTCCTCCACCAGTCCTGTGGGTGTTCATTGCGGGGAAATGGCCGCCCAAAAAGAGTACCCTGTGACAGTGAGGAGATCCAAACATCTGAGCATATCTGAGCATCCAAAGTTAAACATTGAAAAAAGACTCCAAAATATCAAATTCCTTCAAAATCAATGACTTATACTGTTGGGGCAGTCCTTCATGGGTGTTCGTTGGATGAAACAAACATAGATCTCAAATGACACTCACTTTCAGTCTGGATGAAATCTGCGCAAGGGCAACATGGATGAAGCTTAAGATTCTCCTCCTCACTAATAGCCCATAGTCAAACTTGATTTGGTCAGTGGCCCCAACCAAGAACAATTTGTTTCACCAGAATATAGAGTTTTATCAACAAAATACTGCAACAATTTTCACCAGAATATAAAGTTTTATCAACAAAATACTGCAACAATTTGTTTTAAAAAAACACGCAGCCCCTAATTGCGCATGCGGGACCCTTCGCCGGTGGACGCCGCTCCACTCATGTCTCAAGATCGCCTGGCGGAGCGACCGACTCCTCGAGGATGGTCGGCCCGCAACTCCTCAGACGCGCAAAACAAGTAGAGAGCCAAACGTTGTGTTGATAATTCCACGTGGGCTCCCCTAGACGCAGTGCCTGACACAGGGCGCAAACGTGAGGTGAACAGGGCGCAATTCGCGCAATTCTTAGAGGTATTGGACTGCATCGCTCTCATTTAGTGGCTTTCTGGGAGCGAAGATGCTGCTCCCCACGGTTCAGCGTCTCCGCCAAGCTGCGGTGGCTGCGGACTCGGCTCAATCTGCGGAGGTGCCTTGGGCAGGCACGGGCGGGCCGCCCCAGTGGGGAAGTCGGCCTGACTATCGACATGAAAGGGAACTCTCACAAAGATTGATTTGGAGCTCCGACACTACATGGCTCCAACTCTTTCGTGATTATATAAACCTTTTGAGGTACTTTTGAAGTCCTAGGGCTAGAGTCCTGAAAAAAGCAAAGTCCAAGAATGGAACCAAGCCCAACCGCGGGACCCTGGTCTGGGTTCATGATGTACAGGTGTGCCTGCTGAAAACCCGCCACAGTGGCAGAAGAACACGTGTCGGCAAGCTAGCACCGGACAAGCACAAGTCCTGCCAAAACAAACTGATCCTAAACAAACAAGGCTGCAGTGATCCTTCTGTTTAGGATCAGCCTTGACTGTGCAGCCTGTGCATGCTCTTTGGAGTCTAAAGCCGTCTCAAAGTCTCCAGGCTGCAGGCTGAACACGCGATCCAGGCTATTTGAACAGCACATCAAATCCCATTCGAACAGGGTCAGAAGGCTTGCAACAAAAAGAGTATCAAAACAAAACCCCTTTGGAACAATCAACACACCACAAAACTATACCTGAATTCTTGTGTTGCAAGAAGCATGAGTGCATCCATGTTCATCCACTAGGAAACCTTTCGCAAAAACAGTCTAACCAGTAACCAGTCTCGAAAACACGATTAATATTCCCTACGGATCCACATACCTTCTGAGAAGGTGAGCAGGGAGACTATTCATGTAGGCATGTATGTGGATCCCTAGGGATCGGATTCATAAATGTCATTCCCCAGGATGCAACCCATCCCACCGGACCCCATCTGCCTAGCTGCCGGAGCGGCTACCACTGCCGCTACGGTCGTTGGCGCCCCGCGGTCGATGCCGCGGTCGATGCCGCGCGGAACCGCGCCGCTGCCGACGGGCGCGCTGGCGCGGCGCGGTCGGCGGTCCGCTCCGCGCCCGACCGGGCGGAGCAGACTGGCCGCCTCGAACTTGGAGCAAAGCTCTTGCCTTGGATGTTGGGACGCAGCTTGATTCATGCTGTATGATGCTGTATGTAGTATGTAGTATAGCTTCATATTCTTCATGGAGAGTCAACAAAACCTCTCAGGCACGCAATTCCATGAGAAGCAGCGCCACACGCATCCACAATTAGCCCGGCGGCTGTGTCTGCATCTGTTTGTGGATCAGGACTTCCAAGCCTCAGAAAACTCATGCCCGAACTGAAAATGCGCAACCCTCAAAGCCAGCCGCACCATCAGAGTGCCCTTTGTATACAATTTCAAAAACAGCAATCACACGACCTACTACCCCAAGCATCCCCTCGCCCAGCGTCCGGGGCAAGTCAAACATCCTGATGGCGGCATGGCCGACTACATAGTAGAACTAATCCATCTGGGCCCTGCTTGGATAAAAAGAATTATCACATCATAATTACAGTATGACTTATGTGATGTTTTGTGCCCGGTGTTACTCCCTTGCAGATTAACATGGAACCCCAAAGCCACTGGGTTGGTATTCGGAAAATGGTCTTCCACCGGTCAAGTCTCAGGTTCTATGTTTGTTTGCTGGGGGGTAACCATGTTCTTGAACTTGAGGTCTTCTCATTTGGTTGCGTCCCCCGGTACCATCCGAAGTGCGCGAGAACAGCTCCTCGCTCCGTCGGTCTATGCAGCGGCACACCTGGTGGGCGCGCGCTTCCGCGCGGTGGCCGGAGCGGTGGTCATCGATAGTCACCACAAGGGGAAGTATCCACCCCAGACACTCCGTGTATCTCCACCACCCTGAGTGACCTCTAGACCAGCAAGCATCCCAAATATGATCTTTTCCGATCAACAAAACTGATCATGTTTGGCTTCTAGGCATGGGGTCATCTCACCAGGAGACCGACCGGTTGCCCTGGCGAAGGCCGGCTAGCTACATGGTTTTCCACGACCCATCCCCACCCACATGGGTTTGGTTGAGTCATTCTATTGGCATAAGCACCAGGACCTTCCAACAGGTGGTTTTTGGACATCCCGAATCACCTCAAAAAGAGGTGAATGTACAGACACTGATCATCCTGGTTCTATGGAGTCTATTGACCACTTCGATCTGCAAGGGGAGGGTGGATGTCGGATCTCTTTTGCTCAGATCCTTGGAGGTGTCGAGGTGCTGCGGTGACCACCTGGGTGTCGGTTGGTGTCGGTTCGGTCTCCCCACTTCGAGTCGAAGGCCCCCGGACGGTGGAACGGATAGGGTCACTGGATAACGCAGTGGCCGGAAACACCCGGGGGATGGTGGTTTTGGCTCATGCAAGGGAAACTAACTTGAGGAAAACAACATCCTCTTCTTTGGACCTTGGGGGCGTAATCCCCACAGGTACACATTGACCGAATCCCTACTTGAACAGCCTAAGTAAAAGTGTTTGCTTGATGGCGTACACATTCGTACACACATTGACAGAACTGCTCCGTTGGTTTTGCAGTTACCACATGTACCCCATGGCCCATGCCTTCCTCTAGCCTGGTATAAGCCAATATATCCCATCCCCAAGAAGCCCGCAGGCCCCCCAGGTACGCTGAATCGCAAACAGAACCCCATCATGAATGTCACGTGTTTCCTCTATACACTTCAGCCCTGAGACAGGAGCAACAACGATTACATTGCATTTTGTCCATGAAATGCACGACAACCACGCATGTGTCATTTTAAGATCATTCACATTATCCATATATACATTCTCTGGTGTTAAGCACATCAGCAACCCCTCTGCGGTCCTCTATCAGTCTGTTATTTTGGATCCTGTTTTGAATATCAAATCCGCTGTTGCCAGGTGGCTTCTTGCCCTTGCGCTTCCACCAGCTGGGTGAGCTCCATGTGCCGCTGCTCCAAAATGCTCTCGTGCTCCTCGCGCTTTCAAATGGACCCAGTTTCAGTGCAGCCTCCAACATTCGGTCACCACAAAAATCAGTGCATTCTGTTGCATTCTGATGCACTCTGCGTCTTTTTCGCCTGGCTTCCCGGATTCCCCAGGCACCCCTGAAGTCAAAATTGCACCTTTCAAGTCTCACTGAACATTCCCGATACAAATCCAAGATAAAACATCCGAACGAACAACACTTCCAACATGCAGAAGGTTGAACAAAGCCCAAACACTCAATCGGGGTGGTTTGAGGGGTCAATGTAGGCATATATGACAGACATGGAGTGTCTGGGAAGGGTTTACACATTGACATGCTGCACATGACAAAGACCCACCCAAATCACCCTCCCAACACTCTCCGGAGCCGTCTGCAATCGCTGCTCTGCTCCGGTCACCTGCGAATTCGGCAAAGCTTGATCTGATTTGAAGAATTTGTTCTGCATATGAATGTGAAAGTGTAAAGGTTTGTGAGTTGTGAGGTTTGTAGAAAGTAAGAAAAAAGGGTGAATCCTGGTGAATCCCTCATTTCTCCAGCCAGACCTCCCAAGCAACTATGCCTGTCAAAGCAATCACTGGGAGCACATCCCTTTCTCATAGAGCAAGACTTGTTGTGCCTCATCACGGCCAAAACCCTCATGACACATTATGACACTGTGACACCTCTTGGACTTGCACTCTCTCCAAACCTTCCCCAACATGGTTTGGATGACCGTCCCCACAATTGCAGGCAGAACAGGGATCTCAAACATTGAACGTATGGCCGCTTCTAGCCTCTGGCCGCCTCTGCCCTCTCGTTTTTTACATGGACGTGCCTGAAAACCAATGAATCCATGCTGGACAACCCACTCGCGTCGCTTCTTCTCCGGCCTGATCCGCAGGGGCAGGAGCTTTGTCACTGCTTTTTGGACTGCTCCCGGGTGATGTCGTCGTCGCATCGGCGGCTGCCTAGAGGAGCGCAAAAACGTTGCGAAAACCCGATCCTGGCCTCGTCCATGAATCTTTGCTCGACCCATTAGAAGATGGGCTGTTCATTCCCCAAGCAGTTTACTGTTACGAGTTCTCAATTCTTTCTTAAGATGTGTCCGCCCTGTGTGTCACTGCTGGTGTCCGCCCTTTTCCGCTGGCTATGTAGCATTTTTTCATTTGTCTCCCAGGTCTGTCACTGCTGGTGTCCGCTCTTTTCCGCTGGCCCTGTAGCATTTCTATTCATTTGTCTCCCAGGTCTGTCGCTGCTGGTGGCCGCCCTTTTCCGTTGGCCATGTAGCGTTTCTATGCATTTGTCTCCCAAGTCTGTCGCTGCAGGTGTCCACCCTTTTCCGGTCATGCAGCATTTCTATTCATGTATCTCCCAGGTGTGTCACTGGTGGTGTCCGCCCTTTTCCGCTGGCGATGCAACATTTCTATTCATGTCTCCCAGGTCTGTCACTGGTGGTGTCCGCCCTTTTCCGCTGGCCATGTAGCATTTCTATTCATTTGTCTCCCAGGTTTGTCACTGCTGGCGTCCGCCCTTTTCCGCTGGCCATGCAGCATTTCAATTCATTTGTCTCAAAAGTGATTTCTTACTTCTGTCTCCCAGGTTCGGTGCCTGCACTGCTGGTATCCGCCCTTCTCCGCTGGCCATGCAGCATTTCTATTCATTTGTCTCCCATGCGATTTGTTTACTTTAGTTTTCCAGGTTCGGTGCCTGCACTGCTGGCATGCGCCCTTTTCCCCTTTCCAGCATTTCTATTCATTTGTCTCCCAGGTGCTTTCTGTACTTCCCCAAACAGGTTCCTGTTAGGGGTGCTCAAGGCTTTCTAAGAGTGTCCGCCTTGCTGCGGGACAACATGTCCACCTTCTATCCGGCTTGTCTCCCTTCTTGTTGGTCACTGTGTCCGCCTTGTCTCCCTTCTGTTTCCCTGTCTCCGGTCTTCACGGATCGAGAAACAGGCCGAAGCGCCTGTCCTTGAAAGCGCCCCTCTTCTTGGAGAAAAAGTATGACGCAATTGCCCTGGCGGAAACGCACACAGCAACAGGATCATCGCCAGATCGTGAAAGAGTTCGGCAATTTCATTGGTCCCAGGGACCAAAAGGGGAAAACCTGAAGCGGAGGGCTCAGTGTGCCCCGTCCAAAAACGGGCCCCTGTGTCCCCTCTGCCGTCTGGGAGCTCGACACTGTGTGCGCTGATGCAACCAAACGTCATGTGAAAACGGAAGCCCTCGTCCGTTGCACGATAGAACCGGAGATGACAGCGATCGAATTAATCGAGTTGAGATCCAGATCTAAGAGCATGTTCGATCAAAGGTAACTCTTGGTAGCCCATAGGCTTACCTGCCTCCTCTTTTCCAGCGCCTGATACCACTGTATCGAACTTCAGAGCGGCATCATCCAGAATAGGTCCTGTCGAGCACTTAGTCTTGAATGCTCTTCTATGCCTCAGGTCCTGATCAGAGTACGCTGCCACCTCGATCCGAGGGCTCGTTTCCTTGTGCTGAATCGACTGCCATCAGATACAGCAGCTACCGGCTTTAGTTCTGAGGACCAAAATGCCGACAAGTCGATGGAGGGCCGTGAGCTGATGATGTTGTCCAGTGCATCTGTTCGCACGATCTCCTCCAACCTCACCCCAGGAGGCAGAGGTGGAAGAATCACACTGAAATCCAAACCAACCTCCAGACTTGACCCCTAATGCGGAGAAATCTTTTGGGATCCGCATCAAGCAAAAATCGGCTCCAATCGGAAGCTTTGCCAAGTTCACAAGTGTGTCCGTCTTGTCTCCCGTCTTGTCTCCCTTCTTGTTAGTCACTGTGTCAACTCGCGGGAGGACAGCCTGCACCAAAGGATCCGCTTCAGTGGGATGCGTGCACCACTCTGGAACCCCATGTTGAATTGTCCTGAACCATTTCTCAGTGTTCCATGGGCCCCAAGATACATCCATGGCAGCACTTGTGAGAGCAACGCTTGCAAAGACATTGGCTTCCTTGACACTGTTCAGGCCAACATTGTGGATCATGTGCCAGGGGTCTGGCAACCATATGTATCGACCCTTGGCATTGAAACATCCGGGACATCGCACTGCAGCTGACTGAGAAGCTATCCTCACAGTGAACAAGGATGGGCCGCTTCAACCATGGTCGCTGCTCACTTGATTCAGCTGACGGAGGGGTCTTGGCCCTTGTCTCCTTTCTGTTTCCCTTTGTCTCCGGTCTTGTCTCCCTTCTTGTTGGTCAGTGTGTCCGTCTTGTCTCCCTTCTGTTTCCTTTTGTCTCCCTTCTTGTCTCCCTTCGTGTTGGTCATTGCGTTCGTCGTGTTTCCCTTCTGTTCCCTTGTTGTCTCCCTTCTCGTTGGTCAGTGTGTCTGCCTTGGTCTCCCTTTGTCTCCGTCTTGTCTCCCTTCTTGTTCGTCATTGTGTCCGTCTTGTCTCCCTTCTTTTTCCTTTTGTCTCCCTTCTTGTCTCCGTTGGTCATTGTGTTCGTCTTGTCCCCCTTCTGTTTCCTTTTGTCTTCCTTCTTGTTGGTCATTGTGTCCGCCTTGTCTTCCTTCTTGT